AATGCCATAAAGACGCAGGAGAGAAACCAAGTGACGCATAAAAACTTGCAGAATGCCCTGCGCATTAAAATGACATCTCTAACACCAGACATACAGAAAATGGTGAAAGAAGGGAAATACCAGTTTTCCCACTGAGTCTTTCAAATGTTGTAGTTATCAATTCGTTTTTTTAGTGCTCATATTGGCCGTTCTGTGTTTCCGTCTTTTAGGATCACGCTGAATCCCGCTTCAAAAATCCTCCAGATGAAGCAGTGGTCACTGTTCATAAAAACAAATGCATAATAATAATTAAGTTGTTATAATAATAAAGAAAGTGTCTGAATATGTCCTTTATTTCATTTATATGCTCAGCTTCATGGATGTGAATGCAGCAGTGACACAACACAAAGCGGTTCTGTCACCGCAAGCTGCAGCACAGTGCGGGAGAGGAGGGGAGGGGTTACAGAGCGACTCACAGTGAACCTTTGAAAGTGTCAAATTGAACTCAAATTAATAGTCATAAAATAACATAAAAAAGGATTGGACGCTGTTCGTGTGACTCGGACTCATGCTATATAAATATAACGTTTCAAAATTCATCCGGCGGGCCAAAAATATTTCAGAGCGGGCCAGAATTGGCCCGCGGGCTCGACGTTGCCGACCCCTGGTGTAGAGAAACCATATGGTCGCTGAAGGATCATAATTGAATTGTACCTGTATTTGAAAACGCCTCCTTGGTGTCTGGTCCGCATGCTGCGTGGTTACACCAAGTCTATTAAAAAAAAAAGACCAGTCATCCACTCAGACCATTGTGTGCCAGAGTCAAGATTCTTCTCATTGCTGTTATTTTCTGTCTCCAGGTGCATGATGACCCTACTGTGCTGTAGCTGTCACAGCTAGTCAGGTGCTGCACCATGGCCAAACCTGGGAGCGACAGAGATGGAGCCATGGTGGATAAGCAGGCGGGGAAGAAGGTACATTAGCACTGGGGGTATGGGGTACCATGTGGATTTTATCCAGACCTCCTTCTCCTAGACTCATTATCGGTCCAGTACTTTGATACATTTTGATACTTTTACTGTGATTGGTTCTTTTTGTTTAATGTGAAAAAAATAATGCTTCCTGTATAGGATTAGGTGTTCATGTTTTTAAACAGAATCTTGTTTGAGAACAGCAACAGTGATGTTTAGAAAAGCTAAGTCATGGGTCAGATATATCTGCCTGTAAACAGATTTTAATCCTTAAATGTGCACTAGGATTTTACATAATTTTACAAATCAAGTGACAATGGGAGGGGATATGGTGTCTCTCAGCTATACTCTATACTATTTCTTGCCCTCTGTGTCCAGTGTTGTTAAAATCTGCCCTGCACTTCGTCTGAGGTTATAAGATGTTTTTCAAATCAGTATGACTTATTTCAAAGACAGACCGTGGAGGCTCCCTGAGCATATACAACCCAGGATGGGAGTGGATCTGTTAGATCCAAGAGGCTGTGTTCTGTAACAGAGAAAGACTATGACAAAGAATGAAGCAAAACCAGGGTTACCATCAGTTTGGCAGGATGGAAATGTAGAGTATTAAAAGCATCCAAAGGACTAAATTTTTACACAGATGTGGCTTTCTTCCTTCTGGGCGCCTAAGTACTATAGCTGGCTAACATGTATATGTCAGCATCATTAGCAAGCTAACATTGGCTTTTCAAAAATCTACCTTTTGTATTGAATTATTCTGGTTGTCGTTTGGAGTCATTCCAACTGACTGCAACGTTAGTGTTTTGCTGTCCAGTTAGCAGAAACCAGCATATTTTCGGTTTCACATAAACGGTTATGTGTGTCAAGCATGTAACATTGAATGTGATGTGGTAGTGGCTGGAACATTAATAATGTATCAATATTACTGGGAGAAAACATTCCTCTGTATAATTTGCTTATGTTACTGTAGATACATCTTCTACAAACAGTGTTAGACATGCGTATACATATTGCTAAAATGTAAGCCTCTTTATTTGATGCTGCAATGCCACCAAAAGCCAAAGGGCTCTTTGGGCTCTATATTCCATATACATTTGTTCTAGAGCCATTTATTACCGCCACGGTACCCGACTGCTAGAGATGGAACAGGAGGGGATACTGCTTGACTTTTTGACTCTCACTTCACCATTTACGGTTGAAAATTAGAGGGAGAAGTTAGTTAATGCAGCTTGCAGGCAGAGATGCATCTCATCCCAAGTCTCCTCTACTTTTCACACAGCTTTGCACCGCTGGCCCATTGCTTCACTCAGGTCAAAGCAGCACCACACTGCAGTCATTTTTCCACCTGACAGACAAGTATTTTACTGCACCAAGTGCAGCTCAATAAAAGTACTGGTACTTGTCTGCAGATCGCAGTGCAAGAACCCAGTAACTGGAACTGTAAGACACTGTGATAAAAACATATTTATGCTGTTACTGTTTTGGCCTGATGCCACTGACCATAAGTGTAGTATTTCCTGAAGAGGCCAGATAGCCCCTCCATGAACATGTAAAACTAATCATAAATGATGCAGTTAAACCTAACATCGTATTAATAAAACAAATGGCAGCTGCAGGGATGGCAGGGATCATATTTAACATAATCTGTATTTTGAAGTAGGAGTAGTTCTCAGCTTAATTATTGCTCTGACTTTCTTCACCAAAAGAAATCCCTAACACCAGTGTATGTAGTATTTGTATCAGGCCTTCTGTCTAGACAGTATCTGTAGGTAATTGTGAGTTTTGTAAAATTAGACCTAAATTGACTTTGAATTATGTTGTTGGGCCTGCAGAGTGTATTTTATAGCTAGTTTCACTTCATCTTTTTTGGCCTCTATGTGGCTAACTTTATTTTCTGCATTCTTTATGGTATTTTAGCATCTACGGGCAGGGTGTTAGTTTCACTGAATTTACTCTGGGAACACCATTGCACTAGTGTGAAAATTCTCATGGTGCACAAATGTACTGTTTTAATAGACTTATTTGTGTGTGTGTGTGTGTGTGTGTGTATAAACATAAAGGAAAAAACTAGTCACTCCTGATCTTTCACTCTTCACTTGGCACTGCCTTGGGAATAAGATTTTAGTGAGTCAGGCAAACAACCCCACTGCCTGCCTGCAAGACCCAAACAATATGTTGTATGTAGAGACAACACAGCCTATAATATAATCACATGCTCTTTATGTTTAGTGTTGTGTTCTAGCATTGGTTTCAACTGAAATACTGCCCACACGATAATCTCAACTCTTTTCTTGTCATGCCTTTCAACAGAGCTTTTTATATGGAGCTGCCTCAGTTTATTCACTGTCATAACTTTACAGTTTACATGTACAGACACACAGGCATCTCACAAATGTGGCCACACCTTTATTATGTTTGACATGTCTGAAATTTTTTTTTTTTTTTTTTTTTCCTGAATTTGGTTTCCTCTTTGCCCTTGACAGAGCAAAGAAAAGCTGTCTCCTTTCACCAAAACTCCGAAGCTGGACCGGAGTGAATTGCTGGGGAAGGAAGGGAAAACCAAGTCTTCCATGAAGCGCAAGCTCTCCTTCACAACCAGCCCGCCCCGGACAGAAGAGCGAGACTCAGACACTGGTAAGGACTGTTGCTGCTGCTCCTTTTCTCTCCTCCTTCTCCAACAGCAGTGTAGCTGGCTCACTGCCATGACATCACACTGCCCCCTGGTGGCATATGTTGGACCTTTTCTTCAGTCACTGTCTATAGGTTTAACGGGTTTTGACAAAATCTGACCGTCGATGTAGTTGTGCCAAGTTGTATTATGAGAAAAATTAGTGTAGATGGAGTTGTATGTGAGACTTGGCTGTTGGTGTTTTGTGGACAATAACAGGCTTCAGCAGTCTTGCTTTTTTAGGGTAAGATAGTTTGTAAAATTCTATATTTTCAACCATATCTTATTAACAAAGCCAAAAACCCATTGAATTCATTCTACTAAGAACTGTCTGTGTAATCAAAGCCTGATATGTCTTACTTCTCTGTGTGATAGACCACTATTCTTAACCGAAAATTAGTAAAAACACATCCATGAGCCACACTGTTGTACTGGGTGACATGTTTCCTCATATAGTGTAGTTTGTTGTTCCACATTCACTGTCCTGTTGCAGTAATTGCTCACCAGTGCACCAAATGCATATTAATCTGCTGCTGAAAATAGTTACCAACAAATGCACTATTTATTCATCTTTAAGAAATTTTCAGTATCTAGCAGTTTATTAAATTACAGAGATGTTAGAGGGAAGAAAACAAAACTATACATTTTAAAGGTTTTATCAGTAGGAACTATCCACAGATCATCTAGGAATGTTGGAAGGTGCTAAGAAACTGACTGCATAAATATAAAACATCAGTATAAAAACATGGAATGGCAGCCTTCTTCTTTAAGACCTGGTGTTGATGCAGTTGTTAGATGTGCAGGTTCTCAGTAACTGTCGTCATGTTGAAGATTAACTGGTTCACTCAACTGCTTAGCTTCACACCGGAGACATTGTGAACTTAAAATCTTAATCTTACCTCTTACTAATGTAAATAGATGATTCTGCTTCTGTCATTTAGGTGGAAGTTTTAATTGCATATTTGCATGAGGTCAAGAAGATAAAATGCTTCACTCAAGTGTTTAGCTTTCGTTTGGAAACACTGTGAACTTGAATTCTTAATCTTACCTCTTACTAATGTAAATAGATGATTCTGCTTGTGTCATTAGTTAAATTGTATGTTTAGATCAAATTTGAGACTTGAAGATAAATGGTTTCAGTGTATTGTCCAGCCATAATTACAGTAAACAAAGCACAGTATAATGTGTTTTACAGACTGCTTGAAGTCTTGCATATTTGCATTCCAAGTACACTTTAGAGAAAAGCTCAATATACTGATTTTCACTGTGTTCCTGTGTCATTTTTAACAGACAGAAAGCCTCAATCTTGAATTGTCTGAGTATGATTTATGTCACTAAGTGGCACAGAGGGTGGCTTTGCCATTGCAGCAGCCTTTTCCTAGTGCCGCTTTAGTCCTGTGTTGAGCAGCAGTAGGAAGAAGTGAAGCACTGGTTCCATTGACAACCTCAGATTGGATATTCTCTCCTGTGTCGTGTGTTGCCATGACCCATAATCTGTGTGTGACGTGTGAGTCTGCCTTTGTGCCTGTTTGTATTTGAGTATATGTGAGAGAGTGTGTGTGTGTTAATGCAGTGCTTTCCCACCCTTCCACACACTTCCCCTCCCGCTCTCCCTTCCCTCCTCTCTCCCCTCCCCATCCTCTCTGCTTTGCACTTAGATGACTCAGACCCAGGCCAATCCACTGAGACCTGGGGAGAGAGATTAGTGCCTCCCTGCAGGATATACGCAGGTAATCACTGCAGCCCGAGCCTCAGCCCCCTTGTCCTCTTCAAATCACGTCACCCACTTTGCGCTACAATGCTGCTGTAACCATACATACACACATGCACGTGTGTGTGTGTTTTCGCCCTGCATCTGCCACTGTGGCAGCTCACGCATGTTTGTTTAGTAGAAACAACCAACTGATAGAGATCGGGGCTCCAAGGTGCACCTTCTGCACTTGGCTGTCTTAAGAGAATGCTGTCTTTATTTTATTTATCTATTTATTTATTTCTTGGGTCCCTTTTCAAACCTCATGCTTGTCATCTGTTTCTCGGTGTGCTCAACAGATACAAGGGGAGGAGGAAAGCAATAACACTGTTAACAAATAAATTGCTGTTTTGGGACTGTTTTCTAAAGTCTTAACTTGTTTGTTTGTTTTTTTTTTCTTCTTTTTTCAGATAAAGATGGACCAGACAAGAAGAAGATGAAAAAGGAGGCTGGGGGCAAAAAGTCCCAGGCTCCCAACCTTTTGTTTGGGTATCCTCTGTCAGAGCGCAAACAGATGGCTCTCCTAATGCAGATGACTGCCAACAGTCCAGGTTTGTGTGCTAGCCCTCTCACCTTAACCACCTCCTCAAGGCGGCTCAGAGTATATTTACTGTTGGATGAGTCATGATTCTGAGCATTTTGACAAGCATACTCTAATATTTCAAGGTTGTTTGAACTGGAGCTCAGCTGGAAAGGAGGTTGTTCTGTGCCATTTCAGAAGGTTTTTACAGTTATGTTTCCAAGATAATTGACTGAGGTCATTTTTGTAAATGAAAAGCTCAGAGTAGTTGTAAGTCAGTGAATACATATCTGAAAATACACACAGGCACAAGTGAGCACAGTTTCCTGGTAAAACCGGTCTCGTTGCGGTTGCTCAATTGTGCCATGCTTAATAAAGGAACTATTTTGGCAGTAAACATATTCACTTATGTGCCCCAAGTTTAGATAAGCATGTCTGAAGCTGGAGCAGAAGTCACACTAGACTTTGTCGCTATCTGTCAGTTTGAGGGACAGGGTCATAAAAATTTTGTAACAAGTTATTATTACTCCTCACTTTAATGTGTTTTTTTTTTAATAAGACATTTAATAGCATTTTAATTCATTTTCATTTTTTTTTAATAAGACAATTAGACAGTTATCATTAAAATATGAACAACCTATATACACAGAGTTAGGTTAGGCTAACTGAAGTGAACTCGACTGACTTGCTTTTAGAGGCAGCTGTCATTAGGTTTCTCATGGCCCTTACAATTTTGATCTGAAAGCTGAACCTGTGCTCTGTTGCTGCACTACATTTCTCTAAGGATGTGATTAGAAGTTTCTCTGAACATAGGATTTCCCTGATCCTGAAGCACTGATTTCACCAGGGGGAATCTGTTTCATGCACTCCTTCTGCACCATTGGCACAGGTGCGCCCCCTCTGTGACCCGTATTGGTCACAGACGTGCTCCATGGCCTCCAGTCAGTGGCTCTTGAGCGGGCTGTCAGCTCCCAGATAGTGAGGTGCGCTGACCAGGTCTCAGTTGTGCATCATCCACAGCATCAGTTCCTCTCTTTCTGACCAAAGCATTGGGCTTTTTAATAGTCTAACTTTACATTATAGGGTAGATCGCTCTATGTGTTCTAATCTGTCAAAATGATGGTCTTCCATTATTAGTTTTAAAAAAATTACACATACAAACAGTTTTCAGGTTTCCAGTAAAACAAACTTTTTGGGCTCAAACGTCATTTATTTTTCCTCCTGCCTGTGTACAGACTCTACACCAAGTCACCCTTCTCAGACGACCCCTGTGCAGAAGAAAGTGCCCAGCAGCGCCTCATCTCGGCAGAAGGACAAGGTCAACAAGAGGAATGAGCGCGGGGAGACGCCCCTTCACATGGCAGCCATCCGGGGAGACGCCAAGCAAGTGAAAGAGCTCATTAGCCTCGGTGCTGATGTCAACGTCAAAGACTTTGCAGGTACGATGCCCCAGGAGGTGATGATTTAACAGCTTTCATCATGTGTGTATGGTAACTTTTAATGGCATAAAAGCCAAGTAACAGCTGCTGATTCAAAGGCAAAGTTTCATTATAGGATAGCAAAAGAGACATCACGGTGCCCGTTAATAATCTTATTTTGTTTGCCTTGTACCTAATGCGCTATGTTTTTTTGCTTGTCTAGTCTTTTTTCTTTTCTTCTCTCTACCTGTTATTTCCCAACACAAATGGCTGCTGACATTTAAAATTAATTGCACTTGTGACTGGCTGACAAAAAAAAAAGCTAAATTCCTGTCAATGTTGTTTGCTGCTCTCATCAGGTTGGACTCCTCTCCATGAAGCCTGTAATCTTGGTTACTATGAGGTGGCCAAGGTCCTTATAGCAGCAGGTGCAGAGGTGAACACGCAGGGTCTGGATGATGACACTCCCCTACATGATGCTTCCAGCAGCGGGCATAAAGATGTAAGAACTTAAAAGCTCTCCTGCCATAATAATGTAGGGCTTGAAAGTAAATTAGGGTTAGGGTCCCTCTGATCAAGTCTCTGCACATACCTTTGAACTGCAGATTGTACAGATCAGCCATGAGAACTGTTACCTCATAAACCATCTGTTTAGAAATGTAGAATGCCTTGGGTTGTTGTCTGATACTGAATAAATGTCACAACAGACATTTTGACAGCAGAAGCTTTTTGTCTGCCACCTTGTTAAAATGTGGATATGAGCAAGATTTTGTACATTCTCAGACATTGTACATTCTCAATATATAAATATATTTTTTCTGTAGATAGTAAAACTGCTACTACGCCATGGTGGAAATGCCTTCCAGGCCAACAAGTGTGGGGAGCGCCCGGTGGATGTAGCAGATTCCCAGGAGCTGGAGCAGCTATTAAAGGGAGAGGTACCGCTGTCGGACCAGGATGACAGCTCTTCAGGTATGCACAGAATACAGCAGTGTTTGGCTGACCCTTCTGTGTTAAGTATTAACTTTAACTTAACTCTAATATTACTGTATTTCCTATCCATTGCACTTTGCAATATGAAGGGCATTATACTACCAAAGCTTCTACATGCAGTCATTATGTTGACACTGCTGAAGATTTCACAATCAGTTTAATGTATATTTTTCTATATTCACTGAGATGATGGTAAAAAGTGTAACTTGTCACTGGGAAATAGGTCATTTGGTGCTTTTGTACAGTATATATCATGTAAACATAGTGTATTGTCTGAGTTTGTCTTGTGTATGTTAAAATTAGTCTTTGCTTCTCTACAGAGTCTGAAGACCCGCCATCTGTCAATCCATCCAGTGTAGACGACAACATGGGAGATTCTGATGCAGAAAAAGACTCGCATGGCAAAAATGCCACAAAAGCATCAGCTTCTGTGCCAGGGCTGGACGAGTACGAGTTCAAAGACGAGGAAGAGGAGGAGGATCTCAGTAAAGCCCTGAACGACAGACACATCCTCCGGAGGGAACTCCGGCAGCGGGAGAAGGAGGACAAAGATAGGAATCATGTGGCAGGAAAGCAGACTGGCAAGGGTGATTCCTCTAACTCCAAAAAGCAGAAGACCTCTCGTGTCCACTGCAACTCCGATACCTCTAGTGATGAAATGGAGAGCCTTTCAGAGAAAAGGAATTCCCCAACCTGCTCTCAGAGCACAGAGAGCCTCAAGGCAGATACGAGGTCTAAAAAGGACAATGCTGAGCAAAAGGACAAGGGCAAAGTTAAGAGAAAGAGCAAGAGCCAGAATAAAAATAAGGAAAACCAAGAGGATGGGAAAGAGAACAGTAAAACCTTGGTCCTCTCTCTTGCAACTGTGTCGGAGAGTACAGAGAAAGGTTGGGAGGAAGACTCCTTCAAGATGTCTTTCAGTCCTAAAGATGACTCATCTGTCCACCTCTTCCATTTATCATCTATCAAATCTCCCAAAATGAACCACAACCTGACAGATAAACAAACACCACTCAAACAGGAAAATACTAAGATGTGTTTCTCCATCAGTGATGGCTCCTGTCCAGTGGACAGTGTCAAATACAACCACTACACAGATGCAGACTACTGCACCGAAAGCTCCAGCACCAAGGGGTGTAAGCACAAAGAAAAGAGCAAACATCAACAGAAAGACTCCTGCATAGATGTAGATGATGGTCATTTGAGTCCTTATAAAGATGGCAGCATAGGAAACAGTATAGACAGCACTGAAGGTGCCTTATGGAAAATGGACTTGGATGGCAAAGTAGTAAAGAAGCATAAGCTTAAACACAAGGAGAAAGACAAACACAGGAGGGAATATGAAGCAGAGCGGAGCCGCCACAGGCAGAAGGAGACCAGAAAGGATGGCCACAGGAATTTGGAGTTTGACAGGGAGTTCTGGAAAGAAAATTTTTTTAAAAGTGATGAGACAGATGAACTTCTGCCAGTGAAAAAAGAAGGTGAAGACACCAACTCACTTCAGAAGACCTCTGATTTCTCTCCTGTCAAAGATGAGAGGAACACAAAGGAGAAAAACACCAGCAGCAAGGAGAAGAGGCTGAGAGAGGAGAGAGAAAAAGACAAGACTGTGAAAAAAGAGCGAAAGGAGGCTGCTGGTAAAGAGGAGAAGGTAAAGGATTCAAAGCTGGCTGAGCGTGACGAGAGGGCGGACTGCCATAGCTCAGGGCGTATTCCTGAGGAGTCACTGCAGAGCAGCAGCATGAAAGAAGAGACAGAAGAGAAACCCATATGTGGGATCACAGCTGATCAAGAACAGTTGGAACCCTCAGAAAAAGGTTTGCGTGAAAAAACCGACAAGAGGCTCCCAGGAAAGGAGAAGGATTCTGATAAAATGGAGAAAAGGCATCTTGACAAGGAAAAAAAGGTCAAAACAGAGCACTCTGAAAAAGCTGAACCACAGAATTCAGTGGATCGTTGGAAGGAAAAAGAAAGAGCAGGGTCCATTTCTTCCCACTTGCCTGGAGATAGAAATTACAAAGAGAATGAAAAACTGAAATCTTTATCCACAGCAAAAAAGCATGAAGACAGCAGGAAAACTAAAGAGAAGTTTGACAAACGGTCTGATAGAGAGAGGCAAGACAGAGAATATGGTGCTGGGGAATTCAGAGAAAAGGACCGCACTAACTCTGATAAGAAAGGTAAAACTCTGGAGAAGACCACAGATCATAGTAAATCTGATCGCTCCAAAGAAAAAGACTGTGACAGGAAGAAGAGAGAGAAAATAAAAGATGGGGCTCTTTCCTCAAGTTCTAATCTGAAATTACTTTTAGAAGAGAAGAAGAGCTACCTGTCTGAAAGCAGTAAGTCTTTATCTATAAAATCTAAGGAAGAAGTTGTGCGAACGCCAGAGAAGGATCGTGATCGAAGAGACTCAGATAGACACAAGGATAAAGACAGGCACAAAGAGCGCTCTCAGCAGGCCAAGATTAACAAGACGAAGCCCAACGAGACAGATGTAGACAAGGCCAAATCAAAAGCCTCACCAGCAGCAGGAGGCACCAGGCCAAAAGAGAAAAGACTTGTGAACGATGACTTGATGCAGACTAGCTTTGAGCGCATGCTCAGCCTGAAGGACCAGGAGATTGAGCAGTGGCATAAAAAACACCTGGAGAAAATCAAACAGAAAGAGCGGGAAAGGCTTAAGCAGCGGCCTCTGGTAGATCATGGGAAATCCAAGCCTAAAGACAGAACAAAGACTGAACCGTGTCTGAATAAGGAGCTAATGCGCTCCAAAAGCTCTGAAGCCTCAGATGTCCACAGCAGAGACAAATCTCTTAAGGACGGCACCAGCCCCAGAACAATATCTCTCGATGGAAAGTCAAGTCTGCCCTCCATCAACGCGAAGGTCATGTCGGTTGTGGAAAACTGTCTGACCAGATCACCCAGACCAGACAGTGAACGCTGTGGCCTCATGTCCAGATCTGTGTCCCTAGTCTCTGTAGCCAGCTCAGAGGACTCCTGTCAGGCCACAACATTAACACCCAGAAACACTGAATATGACTCAGATGTGAACCTGGAAGCCTCAGACTCTCAACCTGCATTCCTCCAGTCTTCCCTTGTCATTCAGGCCACCAGATCGCCATCTGTTCATGATAAAGATTCAAGCGGTCTTCCAGATGTGTCACAGAGTAATCAGACACTGATGTCTGGCAGACATGAATCTCCGTACCTCAGGGCTATTCTGGACGAGGACACCAACTCTTTGACTGAAGGCAAAGCTGTCGAAAACCTGTCAAAATCCAGCCTACCCGCTGAGGAGCTGAGAACAAGGGAGGCCTCGGTAGAAATGGAAGAGAGCCTTAGTAATCAACTTAGTATGAATTCAGAGGTTGATGCAGTCACAGAGAGAGAAGTAACTACTCTTGGCTGCTCCACACCACAAATGTTAAACAAAGATCCTTTGAGTAAAAACCTAACACTTCCACAATCCAGTCTCTCACAATGTAGTGGCTCCCAAACTGGGTCAGCAGAGCAGAAAGTTTGTCCCTCCTCTGACTCTCCTGTTGTGAAGGACATCCAGAGTGTGACGGAGAATTCACAGGCAGAATGTAGCAACAAGGAATGTGATCAGTCGTCAGTACCGACAGTTTCTCTGTCCACTGAGCTGTCAGCACTCTCAAACACAAAGACCTTCCAGCTGCAAGAACCACTCCCATCTTCTGGTGTGGAGAGCCAGCAGCAGACAGAAGCAGGTACCACACAGGATTCTGACCACAAAGAGAAACTCTTGGAGCACACAGAAAGACCAGAAGAAGAAAGCAGCACGGAAACAGTCCCTGAAAGCTTTACAACAGAAAGGGTGGGAAGTCCTGTTGCATCAACCAGCTCACACGTTCCGAGCTCCACAACTGGTGAGTCCTTGCCAGGTTTCAACAAAACTAACACAGAGTCCAAATGTTCTCAAGAGGATATGGAGGTAAATGACCATGGCTGCAAGAAGTCGAGACCTTCCAGTGACACTGCAGGCCAATGTCTTGATGGTCATGTGGAGAAAATGGATAGCATGACTTGTGTGAGCCCTGAACACAAGTCTGAAGAGGTGACTGACTCCCTACAGAGCTCAGACAGCAACAGTGGTGCAGCTGTTTCTGTCACAACAGAGGGTTCAGTCGAGGGTAGTACAGCTACAGAGGGCTTGTCTGAATCGAAAGCCGAGGCCACCTCAGAGCCGATCGAGGCGACGCCTGCTGACGAGAAACCAGAGTCATCTTGTTCGTCAGCTGTAGAAGAGCAAAGCTCCATCCAGCCAGCAGCTCAGACTGATAGCAGCAGTGCTTCAGGGTGTTCCTCTCCACAATCTGGAGACCGGGAATCTGATTCTTCAGGAGCTGGGCTCAAGGTTCGCTCTGCAGACGAAGAAATGGATGTTCATGTTCCCCATCCACGCAAGCGAAAGATGCCTAAAGTGTCGACCTCCCAGCCGTTCTCCACAACTCAGCAGGAGAGAGAGAGAGGCCAGCAGTCTTTGGCTGCAATTGTGGACTCTGTGAAGCTGGAGGAGATTCAGCCCTACCAGACAGAGAGGGCCAACCCTTACTACGAGTTCCTGCACATACGCAAGAAGATCGAGGAGAAGCGCAAAGTGTTGTGTAGTGTCACCCCCCAACCACCACAGTATTATGACGAATACGTGACCTTCAACGGATCCTACCTCTTAGATGGAAACCCACTCAGCAAACTCTGCATACCAACAGTAAGTTCCTCATTTTCACTGATTTACAGTCCAGAAATTCCTAATTGGGTGGTTTCCCTCCAAAAATGTGCCCACTCCAGTGTTAATTTTGCTGATGTGTAGTGCAGTCAGAGAATTCTGTGGTGTTTTAGCTCTGTATTCCAGTAATTTGGATTCAAAATGAAACTGACAAAAGGTCAGGTTGCCGACAATCAGCTGTAATTTGACAGTATTGAGGGTTAGGTTTGTTAAGGGTCAAGTTATGAATGTATTGTGATAATTTAAGATTATTTTGCTATGTTTGAGTTTACCAAAGGGCAGCATAAAAAAACATTTGGGTTTTAGCTGGAGATGTTAGATTGACAACCATCGTAACTCAGTTATAAAATCATAAGGCACCAAGAAGCATCGCTGCTGACGGTGCCATCAATCAAACACTGTCGCAGTGGACAGTAGACGATGAGCTTGTACCAGTGGCTGATTGGCTGAAAAACAACCGGTGACTGATGACCTGTATGGTGACTAATCGTCAGACTGCAGCGTGGATAGCGTTTTGAGCGGTTTCTGTCTCCATCGTTTTGCTTCTGAACAGATAACTCCACCGCCGTCTCTACCTGAGCAGCTGAAAGAGATGTTCAAACAACAAGAGGTCGTCCGCATGAAACTACGACTACAGCACAGCATTGAAAGGGTTTGTAGTTTTATTGTTGTAACTTTTTGTTTTCTTTGTGTGATGCATCTTTTGACATGTGTCACTTACAGCTGAAATGGTACAGGTTATGAAAATACTTCAGTGACACTGTTTTTATACTTAAAAAGGTTATGATTTACATCCTACAT